ATGTGGCTTTTGTACTGGTTTTGTAGCTTAGTATGGTTGCTTATTCTTTTCGGAATTTTTTCTACCAATTAACTATGATTTTGATTTCTTGCAGAGAAGAGGCACTGTAAGGTGAATTACCTCCTTAAAACCATACTCAATAACCTCTAAAATTAATTTTTCAATTGTTACTACTTTTCTTTTGAGCCAAAACTCTATTTATTAAAAATGCGAAGTCTTATGTTTTCTGATTAATCGCCTTCATTAATCGAAAAATCTGTTGAACAATAATTGTTCAAAAATTAATTTCTACCCACACCAAATATTTTTCTTCATCAGGTCGATATGGTGTTATGGAAAATTTTTTTCGAATGACATTTGAACAGAAAAATAATGCTTGATAAATAACCTCATTTTTATAAAAAAAATCTAAAAACCATACCAACAATGAGTTTTCAGTTAAATATCAAGAGAAATTTTATTGGTCCGTGCCAAACGTATGCCAAAAAAGGCAAATTTTTTAACGTTTCACAATTATAAACGAATCAAAGATACTATTTTGGTTTCTGGAACGATTCTTACTACGAGCAGAGGTTATACGCCGGGATGTGCAATTTTGAATTTCAAAAGTGAGCACCAAATCTGAAAACAAAAATAAACTACCCATTATCTTTTCTTCAATATCACTTCTCTTTTAATGAAATCGAAGTAGATGTGATGTTTTCGCAAATAGGCGGAAAATCTACAAGCTGTATTAGATTAATATCGATTTTTAGAATACAGTGCGCAAAATAAGAAAGATACCAACCTGAATAACTTTTGATCTAATAATCGGATGTTTACGTTCTAGGTTTCAATCTTAATGGCTCGAAGGGTAGCCTTAAATATGCTAATTAATTTGTGCAGTTAAGCTACGAAATCAGACACAAAAATATTTTTTCTCTGAATAAACATACCATTTTTTCGAGAGATTCGGATTTATGTCTCCCACAATATGTGGGGAAGCCGCAGTCTGGGAAAGATGGCCCCAATAGTTTGATCATAAAAGCACTTCAAAGTTTGGAAAATTTTATTACATGTCGAGTACTCGAGATATGGGGATATACGCAAAAAGTAAAATTAACATTAAGAGGTCCAAATTTTTGACTGAACTCCAAATTATTAGGGCCATCGAAAAAAGAGTATGTTTATTCAGAAAAAGTCTGTTGTGTCTCAATTTTTAACTTAAAATATCGTCTGCACTAATTAATAAGCATATTTGTGATCTGCCCTTCGAACCATTATGATTGAGTCCTAGAATGTGAAGATCCGACCGTTAGATCAAAAGTTATTCAGGGTAGTTAGTTTTTTTTTCTGCTAGGTAAATATAAAATAGTTTTTAAGCCATTTTTAAGATTATATCACTCACAGAGCTTTATTGGATTCATATGTGATTCTTTTTAAACATGACATTTTGGACCAAAAAATTTCTTCAAATTCAAAGTCTTCAAAATAATCTGAAATTTAATTTGTATACTTCTTTAGTTACATTTATTAATATCTTACTGACAGTGTAGTTTATTGACATTTGCTTGAGAAAAAAAAATAAAATAGAAATTCACCAAATCTCTAATGCCAGGAAAATGACATACTAGCTTAGAAGTTTTAAAAACAGTCATTTTAAGTTAATAGTAAGTAACTCAACTTAAGCCTTTATGTTAGATGAACCATAAATTGCTTAAATTAATTATTTTTATCCACTGTAGAAAGAATCAATTTTTTTTGTTGCTGATATGTACAGAATAAAATTGTGCATAATAATCAATCATTAAATAAATAAATAACTTTGATTACATCCAACCATATTACAATCACACATAAACTTGGTATTAGGTTAATATTTGCTTTTCTTCCTTACAGTATTAGCAGTTAAAAAAATTTATGGTAACACTTCATTGTCCTGGAATTCATAAGCAGAGGATAATGACAAATTCGCCATTTTATAGCATATAACTTGACTTTGATATTATATTTTGGCCTAAGACGTTTACATTCTGCAGAAAACAACAGGATTTCTTAAAATAACTCAGATAAATCTATGTAGTTTATGTTATTAATGATTTCAAGAAGTCAGGAAAATGACAACACTAAAACCTACTCATCTTGAAAAATTTTTTGAAATAGATTTCGAACCACAAAATTGGTTCTTTATTCATGCAACAAGACATGCTCATATAGGAGGGTATCTAATCAATCTATTAACATAAGATATTGATTGCTGGCTCTACCTATTTTAGTTATAATCCACTAAATAAAAGTAGCCAGGAATTGACAGAAAAAAAAATTTTTAACCGAAGTTTTGTAAATAATACCCTCTGCGTATATTCTAGAAATGCTTACACCGGTTGAGATAAAAAAAATCAGATATTGAAAAATTTATGGGAAGTTTTGAACCTAGTTATTATTGGAAACATTGTTTGGGACATGTCAGGAAAATGACATTTTGAAGTACAATTAAATTTTTTAACTTTACAAAACAGTCAATTCTAGTGCAAAGTCATTTTAAAATGCTAACAGCAATACAATTTATTAATTTTTTTAAAAAAGGTTCTTTTACTATTATTGTATTAGATCTTGGAGCATGGGACAGTGAATTGTCATATTTCATGGGAATCACCCTCATACGGCAGAGTGCCTGAAATTCTTAAAAATAAATACCAAATACCAAAGAGTCCCGGATTGTTATTTTGAATGATTGGGCTTGACTTTTTTAAGCTTAATTAAGCAGTACTTACTTAAGTAGTTAGTGTAATCAATTAAAATATAATTCTCGTAGGAGTTTTCATCATTATAATAGAGTTTCGAGTGGAACTCTAGGTTCACAAGGTACCTGCATAGCCGAAAGATCCTAGCAATTAACCCCGATCTTGCATACATAAAATAATATTACAATTTAGAACACAAGATATAGCGATAGGCCTACAATAACCAAAAAAAGAAGGCCAAAATAAAACACATAAAGTAGATGCATAAAATGTCAAATAACTATGGGTGTATTAGCATCTGTTAAAATTCTGCATAAAAAGTTTAGTTTCTAGCTGTCCTTGTCATGGAAGTGTCTAACATCATTTTTTCTTCAAAAAATACGAGTGACATAGCTCTAACTACATCCTAGATATCCTAGATTTAGCTCTAACTACACGTTTAAAAGAATGGACAAAGCTGAAAATGTTTGTTTGAAAAAGTTGACAAAGCTGAAAATAGGTCTTACACAGTCAAACAATGAAACCAAATTTTCAACGATTACGTTAGGCTTAAATTAGAAGTGAAAGAGAGATGAGAATTGGTTAAATTTTTTAAACACTAGAAGAAACTATCACTCACTAATTAGTTCTTTTTAAATACAATAGCCATGACAGCAGTTCAAAAATACGGAGTCAAATAATGAGGCCATTTTTAAAATGTGCATTTCAAGCTATGTATTTTTTCTTCAACATGTATTTTGAGATAGGTAGATTTTTCTCGAACTATTTTTTTTTTCTTGACCACGCATTTTGAGCTATTTTAGTTTTTTTTAAACGCGCATTTAATGCTATAGTTATTTTCATAAATGCGCAATTTGCAACATTTCCGAAATAAAAAATTCAACGAATGTATATCAAATCACAGAGAAAAGATTGGTTACAAACCTGTCTTTCATATACACATTTATCATTTATTATATTTTTTATAAAAATGAGATCATACTCGAAAAATAGTTTCTTTTCTTTTATTACCGTCGTTGAATAACCGACCCAATTTTGGGTTTACGACTACTAATGATCAACACCGTAGCCTTGTAATTCTGAACTCAATCCAGAAGACAAGGGAACTCCTGGATCAGTAGGGAGAAATTTTGCCTTCGAGGAGGACTTCTGGAGGGAACTAATCCGCATTTGCGTTGCATGGAGATGAAAACCTAGAAAACTTCCCACTGTTAGCCTGACGGCTAAGGGACTCTAACCCATGATCCGTCTACCACTGAGGATGTTTTACGTCAGCACTGTGGTCGGTGCAAGTCAGATTCAGAATTCTTATCAACCAGTCCTTGCTGAGATTCGAGCTCTGTTCACCTCATTTTAAAGGTGAACGCTCTATCCCCTGAGCCATCACGGCTCTCGAAGAAAATTTATAAAAATAAGTCTAAATTATGCATGCCAAAAATGCACGTTCAGTTGATTGAGATAATAACGTAACGTTTAGAACAAAGGGAAAAAGGACACATTCTGCCAGATTGTCTTGAGTCCATTTGTCCTCTAGGTTCGAATCTTTACTGCTATCAATGCAGTTGATAAATATTAAATTAGAATTCCGTAGGGCTAACCACAAAATATTTTCATGGTATCATTAATGCCGATCAGTTTTACTCATTAATGTAGATTAGTTAATTTATTCGTCATCTTCATTAGGAGGAGTAGGCCCAAATATTTGAATAAAGGAATTTCTTACCCTTTGTGTTCACAGAGGGAGTCAACTTAAAATTCTCGGCGTATTTTGTCCTCTTCGCAAGTGCGGAATGTAGATTTTCAAGAATCTAGCTCGCACAGAGACGCAATGCACTTTGATTCAGATTTATTTGCAAAGCTTTTGTCCTACTTTCATTACTTAGAATAGATTGTGAATGAATTGAAATAAAGTAAAATATTAAGTATGACTGCACGTGCAAGAAAAACTCAAACTGGATCTCGCCTTTCTGACGTTATTATTGCGTTCTTCTCTCGGGTGAAATATCTCGTCGAGTACAATAACTGTACAACGATAGTACGACTATCTTTTTTTTTTCTCATTTGAATTAGCAAAAGTATTTTATTTATTTATTCATTTTATTTATTTATTTATTTATTTATTTATTTATTTATTTATTTATTTATTGAATTTCTAAAAAATTATGCAACTATGCTCTAACGCTGTAAGTTTCTGTGTTCAAGAACATTTCAAATCATGCATAATTTAAAATGTTGTTTTAATGTAATTTTTTCTATAATTTATTTTTTTAGGTGCTAGCCTCAACTATGGAGTTTATTAGAATTTTCTTATATTTCACTCAACCGTATTCGGACTATGTAATATCATTCCTTTACCGAATCTTCTGGGTAAAAACAAGACCCGTACCACCAATTGAAAATAAATTGCTTTTATTGTCTGCAACAGAATTGGCAGAGAAAATTCGCTCGAAACAGGTAATCCATGTTTTTTTTTTTCAAAAAAAAAAGGTCTCTTAAAGAGTAAAATAATTATTTTAATTAAATTGGCAAATAAGTAAAAAAGGTGAGTCATTTGGTAAAAATATAAACCTGTAATCCGACGTAATCCAGTCGACGATAACATCTTTAACTTTTTTTAATCATACAGCTGCCATTAATAACATGAAAGAATTAATATTTTTCAAACTTATGTAATTAACACTAAAAAATGAATTTTGAGAATAAATATAACTGCACTCTTAACTGTTAACTCATAGTATTGGGTGAACCTCCAAGAACAGTTAAAAGAATAAGAGTATTACCTAAGTAATTAAATTCATTTTCCAAATTATGCACAAGCGTGATAGAACCAGAATTCATACAAAAGTTTAAAAAAAATGATCCTAACAGGATGCCACACAAGTTCAAAATCCTATTTTTTTAAAGAGATTATTTAATTTTTTTTAAAATAAAACAAGACGATGCAGTTTATAACTCATAACATCATTAAAATAAATGTCAAATCAAGGTGCAGAGAAAAGATACTTTGCAAAAATATTGGAGATTGATCGTTCTCTGGTCCAAGTTGTGGATGAATGGATGGGTCCGCCCTATAAACGGGCTGTAACGTGTGCGTGGCTAAAGTCGTACTGTTGGCCATAGGTGGCGCCACTGAAAAACATGAAAGTCACCCACTGCCCAGGCTTGTTGATATTGGCAAGTGGCATTAGTAACAACACAGCGTGTTTCTTACATATTTTTAAATACTTCTATCTATTTCTATTCTGTCATATAATAAATTCTACTATGAACAAAGAAAAGAAAGAAAATTGCATTAATAACGCGTTTTCGTATTTATTCTTCCGTTAATTTAAGAGAATTAAGGATGCTAGACATCGATGTTAATACGCCTTATGTTCAGTACTGAAATAAGTATAAAAATAATGAGAAATTAAAATATTTAAGATAAATCATAATTTACTTTTCAAAATGTTCTTTTGACGTCAAAAACACACGACTTTCTTAAAGAATTAAAAACTAAGCATTTCATTGTAAAATAAATAATGAGACGATTACTAAGAACTTCATAAGTTCAATTAAAAATAATAGTAGAAAACTATAAAATCATCTAACTAGTAATCTATAGTAGCTAAGCTTTTAGACGTAGCATGGCGCTAAAAACATTATGGTCGGAGTTGGATAAAGACATAGCGTCACCTTTTTGTCTTCTCCAGCATTACAGTGGAAACTTTATGTATTTCTTTGTGATATTAATCTATTTTCGCAAGATTGAAATCGTTGTGGTGTTGCACAATCAGTGTTGCCATTATATATACCTTGTATTTTACATGTTTTTTTCTTTTTTAACAAAAGAAAAAAATAAGAAAATACGGAAAGAGTATACAAAAGAGAAAATTTCATTTTCTATACATTGCAAAATTATAAAAAATCTGTTTTTTTTTAAATAAACGTTATTTATATATAATTTAACAATCACTATATGTAATTAATAAATAAATTAAGTGTTGTCAATTTAGTAACATAAAAATTGAAATTTTTTTAATCAAGCTGGAGCGATTCCATTTCATTTAAAATACTAGGAGGCTCCGCCCCCTGCTCGCTAACGCTTGCCAACCCCCGAGAATTGCTAAGCAATCCCATGTGGTTCACGCCGTGAACCATGGCTCGCTGCGCTCGCTCGCCAATGAAGACAGTGTTCTAGCACAAAGACATAGTATATTATCATCAAAGACATAGTATTTTATCATCAAAGACATAGTATTGTACTTATGTAGAAGAATTCTATCAATGTTCTTATTGGCTTTTAAAAAAGTATGTCAGCTATTTAGATTGTACATGGTGAAAAAATCAAAACATTAGCTAAATGAGAAACATATTAGCAGAATAAATTATCAAATATTGCAGTTACTCACTTAAATTCAACTAAATGTGTATAATAAATTAGTTAATGCTAGAAATTCTGAAAGTTTTAGAAAAAAAATTTATTATTTAAAAATATAAACTTTAAACCCTAACTTTTCCTTGTGAGATAATAACCCTCAAAAAGTCAAGAACACTAAAATTTGTTTTATCGCCAAATGAAATATTTTTTGGTGATCAGCATTATTGAAACCAATTTCTATATTAATTGACATTTGTGATAAAGTACATAACATTTTAGAACAAAATAAGGATGTTTTACATACAAAATGCATGGCAGTTAGCAGTACCCGAGAAATACCACCTGGAGGTCGCCATGCTGCATTTCTAATCGGGGAGTTTTGATTTTGGCAGTTCCCTTTGCCTACTGCCAATAGAAGCTTCACTAACATTTTGCATTTTAAAGAGCGAAAATTCAATGCATAAATAAACGCGAAATATAAAAAAATTCAATGCATTCAACACAAACACTTAGACGTTTAGGTAGCTCCCAGTAGAAAAATATCAATTCAACAGTGGACTTTTAAAGCATTCTCACTTCAATTAATTAATTAAGTCCTAATTGAGTTTAAATTAAATATTATCATGTTTTTAGGGCATGAATCTGAATTGAACAACCTGATAATGCTCACTCTGCTTATTGTTTCCGTATTTAAAAGCGCTATATGTTGAGCCACCTCATGTGACATTTGCCATGTGACATTTTTAGCAGCAATCATTGGTCGATTTTCTAACGTTACCATTCGGGGAGTTGTAATGAGGCTTTTTTTTGGTGCCGTGTAAGAGAAATATATATATAGATTTTGTCACATATATTCTGTCCAATTGTTAGCTTTAAAAGTGGTTTTAATTTAGTTAACTAAACAATTTAATAATCTAATTTCGAAAGAAAAAAAACTTATCATCGCTCAAAGATTTGGTCAGGAAATTTTTAGACTATGAAATTGACTTCAATGAAAATGATAGATAGAAATTTTTTTTTAAAAATCGGGCAATCTTAGATAGCTGATATGACTGTGGTATCATTTTATTTTACTAATTTTGCTGGTATATGTCTTTCAGTTTCCTGCATCATTTTGTAGTGCTGATCAGTATTGATTCATTAACTACACTGGCAAACAATATTTTTTTCGTTCATAAGATTTTTTAACAGATTTTAGACACTTTCATATTGATGATTTCAAATCTGCAATCGATTTTTCTAAACAAGCTACAGTTCTTACGTAATTTAATAATCTAGTCCAGACTACGATTTTCTAAAATTTACTGTGTTACTATTAAGTGTCCCCACTTCTCTTGTTTGCGGGGTATGGCAGGAAGAAGGTGAATATACATTTCAGCTTATTATAAGATAAGTTATGTTCACTGTTTTTCGTGTTTTGTTCTTTTTTTAATTTTTTTTTCAAAGGACATGGCAAGTATATATGTATGTATATAAGTTATACATTCTTTATAAACTATTACATTCAACCAAAAAATAAATTTATCTGAAAATACCTAATTTCAAATTTGAAATCACCACACCTGAATTAGTTTCGATAAAATACTTGCAAATATACAACAATTTCTTTCCCGGTGTTATTTACTTTTTTCACTTCAAATTTTCAGATAGTAAAATCCAAATTTTTCTGAATTAATCTAAAATTATCATCTAAAATATATTTAAAGTACTTTAAAGTTGCACTTTAAATGTACTTTAGATATTCTTTAAAGTATATTTAAATTATAATCTAAAATTAAAATCTAAGCAGAAATTTGTTCACCTTATCTTCGAATTTTTCACCCATGTAGAAAACCACTGTCCTAATAAAATTAATTTTAATATTTTTATAAAAAGGAAATATTAAATTAACAAACCTTGTTTCTTTAATACTGATTACAAAGAAGAGAAACTTCAAATCAAACGACTATACATTTTAACTTGCATTCGGACATTTCGTTTTATTTCTTTAGTTTTCTATTTAAGGATAATATATTTATTTTTAACTCAACCTTGAATGAAAAAGTAATTAAAACAGGCATTCGTTATATAATTCATTTTTTTTAAGTGTCTGTATGTCCATAACCTTGGTGGGTCTGGTTATTTTATCTTTTCCATTTTTCGTTTTCGTTCTTAATTTAGAATTCCTCTTATATAATTTTACTTAGCAAAAAATAGTACCATATTTTGCTTCATGCACTTTTTAGAGTCAGGTTAAAATATTATTATTCTTTTTTCTCTGTTTAAAACATATTCAGCTAATGAAATAATCCATTATATAGGTTTTAAACTACTTAGGATTTTATTTTTATTTTTTCATAATTGTTTATACGTTGAACAGCGCAAGTTTTGGTATACGTGGAATAATTATCGACCGATGAAATCTTAAGAAACAAAATATCATGGATTTTTATTCTAAAGGCAAAATGACTCAGACACTGAGATAATGAATCAAATTAATCTTCTTTACAATTATGGAATTTTTAGACGATTTCCTAATACAGAATTAGTCCAAGAGGGGTTTTTCTCACATAATATTTTGCATATACTGGATTCTATTTACATGTACAATATTTTTGGCATGTGCAAGCAACGAACTGAAACAATATCGAACTTTTTGGTAGAAATCTATAATTTAAATGCATTTTTTTAGCATTTATGAATATTTAGAGAGCAACTAGAGTGTTTTTTATGGAATATTTAAATGATACTCTGAACTTTAAATACTGCAAGGGTACGATTTCGAGATGAGTAAATGCTGAAAAATAATCGGATTTATGTTTTTTATTATTTGAATGAAACCCAAAACTAAAATTTAAGGTTTAAAAAGTTGTTAAGTTTGTAGTAATCCATTTTTCGCTTTGTTACACGAAATCCTCTCTCCAACCATGCTAAAGATTTTGCTGATCGATGTTGCCACTTTTTAAACATGATTGCTCTTTTTTTTAAATTTTAGCACGGTTTCTGAATACGGATTTAAGATTAGTCTAAGAATGTGCTAATGCTAACCTAAACTAGCAATGTTCCTGTATATGGGACTTAACCTCCCAACATTAAAATATCAAAGGACCGCCGCGGCTTTGGGTGTTCAACTCGTAGTGTGTCTACTACTGCAAAATTACAATTACAATTCACTAGTATATTAGACATGTTAACTCATTTTTTATGTTGGGGTGCCTTTTCATAGATGAATGTTGACATTGTCCATGTGACTCTCTCCACATTGGTGACCCGGACGAGATCTGACCTCACCTTCTTTATTCAGAAACGCCTTCTTTGATTTGAACACGCCTATTTCGATGGATGGTCCACATTGAACATTTGACTTGCTACTTGAGACTGCGACATTGTCTACCTTCTCACTCTGTTGATACTCATTCTCAAACACAAAACCTGTATGCACTCGACTGCTAATGCCAACACAGGAGTGACCACGACCGTGAACTTAAAACAGCTCTCACGATCAGCACTCAAAAGTGCGGTTACATTAAGACTGCTCTCCCGGCTTCTCACAAAACAGCAATGAATTAACTAATGATATTCGAAAAATTACGATTCATTAGTATGTAAGACATGTTAACACAATTCTGTGTCGGGGTACCTTTTCATCGATGAATGTTGGCATTATCGATGTGACTCTCCCCACTAACTTAATATTTTTTCCCCCAATGAGCTGCACAATCGGTCTTTCTGATGAGCAGACCTAGTGCGTTCTTCAGAGGTGGTATCCACTCCTTCAGGACCACCACAATGGGTGAGATACCGTTGTTCATGTTAATTTGGACGTCTAGTTTCTGCCACACTAGATGGCAGCACCGAGACTCTATTTGGATGCTAAAAAGGCACGAGGAATTTAATTTTGCCGGAAATGCCAAGAGCCAATGAGGCACTCCAGGGATCTTTTACATGCCGCATAATCATACGACATGGCCGCTGAGGATTTTCTGCATCCCGAAAATCCGGTGTCTGGACCGGGGATCGTACCCTCAGACTTGGGCTCAGAAGGCCTACACTAACTTAATATTACTTTTTGATTTACTGCACTAAAATTATACAACTTCGAAACTTGAAATTGATGTATTGATTTAGAAACTTAATGTGTAGAAAAAAGTACAAGAATAAGAAAAGTAACAAGCAATAATTAATAAGTAAAATATGAGCTTTTAAGTTTGAAGTAAAAAAATACCACGTGAACCGTTCTGCAGTTCGTAAAAATGCAATTACAATGCTGACTTGCTGAAAAGGCTGTATTTTTTTAGTAATTTAATGGCAGTTTGTTTTCGAAATTCTAATTCATTTTAAAGTTATTGCAATTCTAATTGCTTTTTATCGCTTTTTTTTACTTAATAACTATTTATCCACTGTTGTAGAAAATTTCAACTCTTTCGCGTTCTTCATTTTATAAGCTTGTTCTTGAAATAATGTCAAAAGTAAGAAAAAAATGAATAAATATAATAAAAAATTTATAAATGTTATAAAAATAAGAGAGTGAAAGATATGATGCTGAGAGATTATCTTGCCAGATAAAAATCTTTTATGTTGTTAAAAAAAATTAACAATATAAAAGGCTCCTAAAGGAAAAATATCTTTTCAAATTTCTAACTGTTACATGATATATGGTTTTCTTTCTTTCTTTCTTTCTTTCTTTTTTTTTAATTTCCAATGCCCACCTGTGTAAACATTTCGTCTATTCAGGCATTTACAGGGCAGATTTGCTGACCACTCTTTCAGAGGCACCATATTAGGTGGGACAACCTTGCTTCCATAGTAAGAACAGATAGTAGAGAAAATGAAGGAGCATCCATGCCTTGCTCGGGATTCGAACCCAGAATCTTTACGATGAAAAACCAGTTTTCTGACCCCTACACAATCCGGTAGGCCGATATAAGGGTATTTTATTTATTTCGCTGACAGGTAAAAATACTTCTTATTTAATCCTTTAATTGTGCAGCACATTCTGCAATCCTTAGATTAAATTTTTTCAGATACTGCTGACATTTTTTTTAATCCAGGCACTCTTTCATTTCGACACGATTAACATGTTAACAAAATATACTTATATAAAGTGATATTTTCACGGGGGAAATTTTTTTTTCTGTTGTAAGATATTTCGTTTAACGCAAAAAACTTTATTCCCCAATATTGTATACATTATAAACAAAAAGACATTTTTTAATCGATTTTTAAGGGGAAAAAACAACGATGGAGGGGAACCAAACGCAGGGGTTTGTGAGCTCAGTGAATATGGTTCGGAAACTCCCATACTATAAAAAAAAGAGAAAAAAACACTTTGTGGTCCCAAGTGTTTCCGATTTTCTTTATGCTCCTGTGGTAAATAGAGAAATTCCATATATTTCTTTGTTTTTTTTTTTTATCTTGTTACTAATACTTGTCTCTATAGGTCAAATGTGAGGATGTCATGCGTGCATACGTAGATAGATGCCGTAAAGTGCAGCCCTACATTAACGCCGTTACTGACGCTCGGTATGAAGATGCTTTAGAAGAGTCGAGACTGGTTGATCGCTTTTTAGCTAGAGGAGATAAAACGCCAGAAGAAATTGAAAAAGACACGCCACTTTTAGGCGTTCCTTTTTCTTGCAAGGAAGCCATAGGAGTCAAAGGTATTTTAGTTTTAGGTTACCCTTTTCCAGTTAAAATGGATTCGGCAGATGTTGTTGGAACTTAGTATATCCGTTTATATGGACCTTGAAAAAAAATTTGTAATTAGAAATTTTGACTACCAGGTGGGAAAAGTGCTGAGAGGAAAAAACCCTAGTCGGAGCAGTCAAACTATCTTAATTCATATATTATATTCTTAATTTTATATTATATTATACTAATCTTAGCAACTTAGTGAAGTGATTATGCCTAACAATGTAATTTAAGTTGGATTTCATTGGATGCTTAGAAGAGGCGTCAAGCGTGTGTTCAGAAGCCGATTGGCTTTTGAATCGACAAATGCCGCGATTTACCTACGATGACGTTACTAGCAGATATTCAGTTGCAGAGAGCTCAACTGTAGCCGGAAAGATTTCTCAAATGATTGCTGCGATATGACGTGTTCAAAGTAACGTGTTCACATATCCAACTCTTCAATAGCATAATACGCTCTCTTCTGTAATGACAGAATGCAGAATTATTTTATGGTGTTGAGCACTGACTTTTCAATGCACTCCAAATTGCACTAATATCATATTCCGTACACGTAAACGCTATCTGTTGTTGGAACTGTGAACTATTTTTATTGCAGATGTTTTTTCGTGGTCCATGTAATGTATGTACTACTTTTCATGCACATCTGTCCAATAGAACAGAACTCTGTGTTGGTCTAAATTGGGTAAGAAACGACGAGTGATTTTTATAAATACAATTATGGAACACTAACACAATGATAGCCGATCAAACTACACATCCTAATGAAAGTTTTATGTAAATTTTTAACGCACGTAAATAATTGTTCGTAAAGGATTTTTTCGCACATACATTCATCAAATATAATAAGCATTTTAATTATTGTCAGAAATAAAGCTATGAAATCCTTCCCATTAAGGAAAGAAAACGACAGAACATTTTGAAGAAGATAAAAATCAAAACACAATAAAAATTAAATTAAAGGAATTTGATCAATATGAAGATAAATAACAATTATGTTCAGAAGAGCAATTATGTGGAAAAACACCTTGATTTCTATTTAGGCAATAAGATGTTTTTATGACATTATTAACCAAAGTACTTCAATCGATTAAAATGATAATAATAAAGGAAAAATTTTTTTCGTCTGATGAAATTCTAAGACATTCGAAGAACATTGGTATTTTGAAATTGTTATTAAGTTCACATGCTAGTCTCTGCACAAGGGAAACGCACATAAAGATATAAAAAAACATTTTAATTTGAAATAATATAATAATTTTAAAACTGCCCGTTTCCAATAGGCTTAAAAAGAGAAACTAAGTCATCGAAATATTGACTCTCCATAAAAGATTGAAAATATTTGCTGGCACTATTTCGAAAACAATTTCGACTTGAATGGCATAAGGCACAGAGCTCCAGAAGATTGGAGCTCCCTATAACTACTCAGAAAACGATTAACTAATGATAAAATCAATTTGTCGATACAAATCGGAAACTGATACGGATTTCGATTGACCATACATTTACTTTCGATTTATTTATTGATTTACATCAATAGAATTATCACCTTCTGGTGATAATTTGTCAATAAATTTTGCCTTTAGAGATCAGAAACGATTAAAACGATCAACGATAGAAACGCAATCAGGCACCGAGCTACAGTTGAAACTTGAGCTTTCTATACAATCGATAGGGGTCGAAATTTCGTTTTCAAGATTCCATCGTCACACACCTGAAAGCAGATTAATAAACAAGCTAAAAAATTTTTAGTCGCTTTTAATGTCAGAAAAGATATTAAATATTTACCCTTAAGAGCTACCCTCCTTATTGTATATCTAATTGCATTATCCAGTGTGTCCCTGAATTATTGGATCAAACTTTAAGGGGAGGTAGGGGACATGACAAGGATTCAAAACTACATAGCAACCCATAGTCCGAAACGTCTTGTGAAAGTAGTATGACAGGTACAAGAAACTAAAAGACGCAAGACTGAGATCATCTGAAATATTTATTGGTCAAAGATATCACATTTGCTGTAGTAGATGACACATGAAAATGTCATAAAAGATGGTAAAATTTCCACCATTGCTAGAGATGGATGCTTTACACCGTCGGATCATGAATTGGCGGAGTAGCCGTTGGATGTCCGCAGCAGTACAGACGATTCTTGGCAACAGATCCATTTCGTAATCCACAGGTGTTGAGTGCACACCACTTCAAAGAAAGAAATTCATGCTACTAAAATCAGAAGAGCGTGGTCTACCATGCCCAATCCATCTTGTGATCAACATCATTTAGCGTCGAACGAAGACGTTTATGATCATGAGTCACAATGCAAACCTGAATCCTTGTGATGTTCCCTACCTCCCTTTTAAGTTAGTCCAAAAAATCCTGGGACACCCTGTATGCTAAGGTAATCTTGCCCCGTGGACAGTAGGTTATTGAAAATACTTTCAAATCTCTAGAGATCAAACGCATCACGTGCTCTTTGTTTCGTTCTAAAACTAGGTTTGGCGCAGACATCTGGAATTTATGCAGCTAAAGGAAGAGTTGCCGACAAAGATTCTGATGCAACTGCCTATTGCAGAGCTGCTGGAGCTATACCTGTTACAGTAACAAATGTGCCTGAGATGTGCATGTGGTGGGACACCTCAAATCTGATTTTCGGAATAACTAAAAATCCTTTTGACAACTCAAGAGCAGTTGGAGGCAGCACGGGTAATGGTATTTTCTAATACAATTATCCAGTTTAATTTGAATACTGTTTATAATAAGTACACAAGCACAATGCATAATGTTGAGTAGACATTTGAATATCAAATTTATAGCATCAATTAATTGATTTCATAAATATTTCTTTTTCCGAGAATGCATATTTTAAAATAGCTGGTGTGATTGTGTTCTTGGTGTTCTACCCAGGTATTTCGGGTTTTTCATATTATATTTCTGTCTCAGAAAATTGGGAGCAAGGTATGTGATTTTTCTGGGAGTTCCGCTTATTTCATGACCATCGGATTCTTCCGCCTATTAAATTCTTTTGGTGCGGCGGATTTTTGCCATTTTGCATATTTGGAACCACGCTGGAATCCGCTAATATTACCCACGCAATTTTAATATCAAAGATCTATTTTTGTATTTGTGTGATTGAAAAGTTACACACTGCGATTCGTATTAACGGGATTTAAAAATCGCACATCGCGATTCGTAATCACGCCATTTGAAATTCCAACTTTGCGATCTCCATTTACGCGTTTTTAAAATACATTTTCTTGATTCATATTCCCGCGATTTTTAAATCCAAAATCAATTCTTGTAAAAACTGAGATTTTTCATGAATTCTCGTTAATATAAAGATGTGATATTCCTTATTGGTAGGTAATTTAATAATAAATCTTATTTCAAAAAATTTTGTAAAATATTAGACATGTATGGTATATTAATTGATATCTTTATCGATTTTCATCGCATAAAATTTTCAGGAATTTTTACTCTGTGTCACTATTACCCCTGAAATAAGTTTATCTCAAATTTCAAAGTACATTTAACGATAGTAAAGCTGTACAACAGTACATTGGAATAGTTATGGGCTTGATCGCATTTTCAAAGTTAAGGTATATGACTATGTGAAACCGCGGCAATTTTGATGAAAATTGTATTTATTTATTTTTTTATCATCTACATTTGAACTTAGTTTAATAGTTTTCCAGAACACTTTAAATTTTTTATCACCGATTTTTAGAAAAAGAAATGGTAGTTTTTTCTTTTACTTTCAGACAAAATCAAAACCAGATATAAACTTCGGAAAACGAAACAGAAATGTTTTTTGTTAAGCTTTGAGTATTATAACATTTTTTTTAGTTTGAATAAATTATAATTTTAAGGCAAAGAAAATTCTTCTTCAGAAATTAATTTTAAAATTTTAATTTTTTTTGTACTCAAAAATTTTTTACATTTTAGAATTTCCTTGCATTTTAAGTGCATTTTCTGAAGAATGTTGATTTTAAAAAAATTCTTCATAAAAATTCTAATACACATTACAAAAACAGTTTATAACGGAATTCTTTGAAATTTTGCATACAAACTTTGCATAATGTTAGAAATGCATTCTGAACGCTAAGGTCTAAGTGTGAATATATTATTTTTATCAAGTTTTAGGGAAGCACGTTTAGAAATTTTATTTAAAAATACGGTATTATTAACGTTATATTTAGTTCTAATTCATTGCTTCTTGAAATTTTTTTCAAGATTTTAGTTTAAAATACAAGAAATCACGTAAGTAATCGCAAAAAAATTATTTTGATATTAATGCATTACAATTTGTTGTTAAGCTGCTAACATGACTTAAAAAATTTATAGTTTTTAAGATCAAATCTCCCTTTTTTTGAGAAAAATTTTATGAAATTTTAATTTGAGAACCAAACACACAATTAAAATTATAATTAAGCCTTTTTGTAAAAGAAAAATAATTAATATCCAACTAAGAAAAGTCATTTGGATATTTTAAATATATTTCAAGCGTTAAAAATATTTTGAAGCAAAAAATGCATTTTAAGATAACGGCAGATTGCTGGAAAATCACTCTAATGGTGTGTAGAATAAATTAAATTTTCATCATTTAACACGTTGAGCGCCGCGTCAACCACCGGTGGCTCACACTGAAATTACATTTAGGCTGCGTCAACTACCGGTGGCTGACACTGAAATTACATTTAGGCTGCGTCTGCCACCGCTTGCTGACACTGACCTTTCACTTGGCGGCGAAAAACAGCTGGCTGGCAGCGTATAACATGATACAAAACTATAAAATTTACACTCTTTTATGGAATTGCAGAAAATTTATTCAAAATTTAGTTCATTATTGTGACTCTTGGTTTAATAAATTCAATTTAGTAGATTTTTATCCACCACTATTTTTAAACAATTAGTTGGCATATATCATTCACAACTTTTTTCTCTGTTATGTCATGCTAAACCAGATAGACTTCAGATAAACTAGCAATATCTGTCTATATTTGCAAATTTAGTTTGTAGTTATTTACCGTGTGGCCTGATGAGCAAGCCATGTGTTAATGGAAAAAAATATGAAAATCTCGTAGGATTTTCTAAAACTTGTGGCACAATGATACGCAAATTTTCTAATTGTTCAGGTGAGCTTTTTCGTTTAGAATATAAATTCACTATTTTTATGTAAGAAATGAGTTTGCTTCTCTATATCATGCTGTCCTCTTACGCAAATTTAGAGAAAACTCGGAAAGTATTTATCTGAAAACAATACTTAGGAAAATATCACCTTTAAAGAAGTTATGCTTATCACTATATAAGCCCGTATTCTTCCTTTGGGATTATCCCAAACTCATTTTTAATGATGTTTCAGGAGGAGAAGCAGCCCTCTTAACTACTGCTGGAGCAGTTATAGGTATAGGCAATGATCTGGGGGGAAGTATACGCATCCCGTCATCATTTAATGGAATCTATGGGCATAAACCTTCCACTGGTAAGTATTAGAAATAAAATACATTTTACGTTAATACAACTGTTATTCAATAAAGTTACTATAGTAATATTTAACAATGTCTGATCCTTTTCTTTTAAATCGTTTCTCAACAGGGATCGTCTCTAATAAAGGGGATTTTCCTTACATTGAAGGCGAAAATGAAAAACTTGATGAATTCACTAGCACAGGCCCAATGTGTCGATACGCAAAGGACTTACATCTTCTTTTAAAAATACTCTCGAATGATGATAAACGGTTACAGCTGAATAAAGAGGTATGCATTATAGCTATAAATGAAATTTCTTTTTCTCTTTTTTTATAATTAAGCCAGTTTTTATAAAGTAGGAAACGAAAAATCATCATCATAGTTGGGCCAACAGCCCAATGTGGGGCCAATGCCTTCCTCCAAAGATTTCTCTGTAACGACTTCCTATTTATCTTTGATCTCCAATTCTTTTCATTAATTGCAAGAAAATCGGACTCCACCGATTCAGCGCATCTCAACCGCGGCCTTCCCTGCTTTTTTGTTAAAGTGGGCCTAAAAAGCATTAAAGTGGGCCTAAAAAGCAGTGTTTTTTTATTGTATTGTCATCACTCGTTTGAATTACGTGGGTCATCCAATTCAATCTATTTCTTTTTTTGTACTTAATGATATATTGTTGTTTATAAATCTTACACAAAGTTAAATCTCCTTCTCCAGTTATTGTTTTCATTTACACCACCAAGTATACTCCGCAAAATCTTTCTCTCAAATATTGCGATGCAATTTTCCTCTAGTTTTGTCATTATCCAAGCTTCCAAAGCATATGCCAAGACTGGCCTAACAAGAGTTTTGTAAATTAAGAACTTTGTTTTTCTAGAATAAAGCGTAGATTTAATAAATCTTCTCAGCCATTTGACAGATGGAGTCCATAGGCGAAAAATAACTGAATGGAAATAAGTATTGGTTTTGAAAGTTGTGGTTTTTGGCTTTTGCGGTAGTAAGAATTTTTCCCTGTTCAGGGTTGTAATATTTTGCCGACATCGTGAATGTACGAAAAGAGAGGATTTCAGAATGGAGGAAAACTTAAACATTTCTCTGCAGACAAGTAAAGTATTATTTCCTAGGTGTTTTGTGTGCAAAATCGAATGAAGCCAAAACCAATTTGATAGAACAAATAGTTTATAATTTAAGGATTTTACTATGCCTATTGTATAAAACGTACAATTTTTGAGTTACGCCTATGTTTACGAACATTTTTGAACATTTGAACATTTGTTGAACATTTTTGTCCAGTCAAGTTACTTGTTTTTTATGTATTTTACTACGCTAAATCGAATTAAACTAAAAACAAGTTTATACAGCTAATAATTGAGAAGGTAAGAGTTTTCTGGATGATACCGAAATAATTGTTTCTAAATTATGAGGATCGTATGCTCTAATGTGTTAAAGTCAAAAAGTTATAACTAATCACTTATAACTGTTATTGTTTCATTTGGTTCGGTGACCGCAAAAGATGCATGAGAAATTGAAAATACATGTTATTATCTTATGCGTTTTTTGTACTGAAAAATAATATCTTCCAGGAAAATGAGACATTATTTCCTAGTGCAAAAATGCATATAAAAATATTTTCTCCCTTTTTTGGTTAAAAGGTTTTGAGTTTTTTTTCCATTTGAACCCATCATTCAATTGTTGTTGTTGTTTCTAATGCTACTTGCCATCCCAGCAAGCCTGCTTGGTGAAATCGAGCAAATTTTCAGTGGCGCCATGTTTTTCAGTGGCGCCATCTATGGCCAAGAATTCGACTTCTGCCACACCATACGTCGCACCCGTTTATAGGTGCGGACCCATTCATTCATCCACACATCGTAATTTTGACCTGAATCAGAGAACGACCGATCTCCAATACAGTACCCCCAGAGGTAATGATTTGATATGGGAACATAGAGGGCTTTTATGACTCGACAGATTTAACGTGCATCAGTCATTTTACTACACGGAGAGTCTTCGGTCGGCGGGGTTCGAACCCGCGAACTCTCGGACATGGGCCCAGCGCTCTACCGATCAGGCTATCCCGGTCAATTGCTGCAGAAAGCTAAAGCTCACCTCATATGATCAATTTTTTAATGATAATTTTAGTGAACCTCAACCAAAACTTTTAAAATTATGTCTTAATAAAATTTTTAAAATAAAATATAAATTCCCTCAATTATTTCCAAGTTCAGTTTTTTTTATCGACACAGGAACTGGCCTTAATATTTATTGACATCATAAAAGTATTTTATATCGGTGCATCATGTATTTGATTTTCTTTTTTAAAAATATTACCAAATGATGGCAGACGGTTATAACTAAACTGTGAGATATGCATGCGATTAAAAAACCAATGATGATAAATTGCACAGAAAAGAAGTGAAATGCAGAAAATTTGTTACAGCTCTTAAGTTTCAATATCATTCTGGCACAGCTTTCTGTAAAAATTTAAAAAAAAGGTCTTGGTCAAGGAACTAAACTGTAATTGATTCTCATATTTCATTTCAGGTGAATTTTTCGAAAGTAAAAGTTTACTACATGGAAGAGTTTCCAGGACTAGCTTTTTCTCCTACGCCGTCAATCAAGAAAGCAGTAAAGAGAGTAAGTACAGTTTCTCCTAAAAAGGGTCCCCCCTTTACAACATTCTCTAATTGTCCCATATGTCTAGTAAAAAAGCATACAATGTCATTCAATTAAGGCTAATTCTGATTTTTACGTATTTTGCCAAACATATTAACTTTTTAAGCATTCTTTTTAAACATTATTTTCCTACACAAATATAAAACTCGTTTTCCGAAAAAAATTATTCAACGCAAAGAAACAAATTATATTAATTATTTTATATTTTTAAGAATTGTGGGAAATTGGTAACTTTGAGAGCCTGCTAAAATTTAAAAGACAGATATAGTATTTTAGAAATCGGCTTTTAATAATTGACGTTTTTCCTGCATTTAATTGTATACAATATCTAAAACGAAGCTAAAGCTATTAATTTTATTTTTAAATTTAAAATATTGTTTAACTATTGCAATTATTGCAGCACGGATCAATTTAGTAGTCCGACGTAACGAACAGAAACTGCGCAGCCGATGAAAAAGAAAAAAGATGTCACTGCGTTCGGGCTACTAAGTTGCGCAGTGGTGGAAAATACGAAAGATGTCATTACGTTTGGACTACTAAAGAATCAAATTTCTTGTTTATGGTAACCCGTGCTAAGGCCTTCTGTTTTCTAGGAGGTATTGCCTTGGTTCAGGGTCTATAAGTATCAAGATTGCTCATTCAACTTGAAACCCCTTTTGGCAGGAAACGGGGTGAAAGAACCACAAACTTCAGCCCTATATCACTCTTCCTAACTTCCTTTATTCTAGGCGATAAAAATTAAAGAAAAGTAGCCAAAATTTAATTAATTTTATGAATAACTTCTAATCCCATCATTTAAGAGCCATAATTTCTTTTAACAGTGTTAATAGAGCCATGACGGCTAAGGAGATAGAGCGCTCACCACCCAATGAGGTGACCCAGGTTCGAATCCCTGGTAGATACGAATTCATCAACAAACAATATTATGAAAAACATTTTGTTTAATATTAAGTGAAGGTATAATATTTTAAAGTGAGGGACAACATTTATGGTAGCGGACTCCATAATGGTCAGTAATAAGACAGGTCGTGAACTGGGTTCGAATCCCAGCGATGGCTATTCAATACGAATTCCGAAACTGACTCGCACCGACCACAGTGCGGACTTAAAAAGCTTCAGTGGTAGACGGATCATGGGTTAGAGTCTGCTTGCCGTCAAACAAATTTTCGTGGTTTTCTTCTCAACTATTACTTACTACGGATAAGTTCCATCAAAAAGTCCTCCATGAAGGCAAATTTCTCCCAATACTTGATCCAGGAGTTCCCTTGTCTTCTGGGTTGTGTTCAAAATTACAAGTCTACGGAGTTGAGCATTAGTAGTCGTTAACCAAAAATTGGGTCGGCTGTTCAACGACTGTTATAAAATGTAAAATAAAAAAGTATGAAGAATTAGAGCCTTGGTGGTTCAAGAGATAGAGCGCTTGCCTCCCAAAGAGATAACCCGGGTTCGAAACTCAGCTATGGTTCGTAGATACGAACTCGGCACCAGACTCGCAAACACATTGCTGACGTAAGATATCCACAGTGGTAGACAGATCATGGGTTTGAGCCCCTTTGTCATCAGACTAAACAAGGGAGGGCTTTGACGTTTTCCTCTTCATGTAACGCAAATGTGATCTAGTTCCATCAAAAAGTCCTCCACGAAGGCAAATTTCTCCCGATACTTTATATAGCAGTTTCTTCGTCTTCTGGTTTGGGTTCAAAATTGCAGGACTACGAAGCTCAACATTGGTAGTCATTTACTTAAAATTGGGACGGCTGTTCAATGACGCAAGTGTAAAATGAAATAAAATTACAGTGCAAATAAAATTGAAATTTAATAAAAAGAATTACCTCAAAGTCTATTTTCTTCCTATCATTTAAAATGATACAGAAACTTTAAAATAATTGTAAGCTAATTGTCTGCATGGGGAGATTTAAGTGATTAGAGCGATTTCGCTACCATTCAGGTTATTCCGTATCAGCAATCCCGTTACCTAGAGAGTTTAGCGGTTATATGTAGTATATTTACATGTATAAGTGGTATATTAATTTACCATATTAATCATTATACTAATCTACCACCACTTTACATTAGATAAACTTTACTTTATTTTCGGGAAATCTTTATCACCCACGAAAGTAAAGAAATAAAACAGGAAATTGGTGATCACCTTCTAATAAATTTAAATAAATATAAAGTTTAAAAAAGATTATTTCATATCTTAAGCTTTTCATATCTTTCAGGCAGCAGATTTCTTCGAGGAAAGATTTGGCACTAAAGCCATTCCACTGACACTCAACGAGCTCCAAAACCCTTTCCAATTGTGGCAGAGTAAAGTTCTCGAAAAGAATTTAGAACCTTTCAAGTTAATCTTTGCAAATGAAAATGGAGAAGTTCATCTGGGATGGGAGTTCTTGAAAGTGATTTTTCGTCTTTCAAATCACACTTTGCCATGCCTGTTCTACGCCGCTATTGAAAAACGAGATAAGGACCAATTCCATTATGATTGCTTAAAACAATTTGACTCACTAAAGCAAAAGTTTTTAAACATTTTTCAAGAAGATTCAATTGTTTTGCTCCCTACACATCCGGAGCCACCGCCTTTCAGTCATTTAACAATCCCAAAATTCAATAATATTGGCTACACAGCCATATTTAATGTGTTAGGATTTCCCGTAACTAACATACCTGCAGGCATGAATGATGGTTTACCAATTGGATTACAGGCAGTCAGTGGACCTTTCAAAGACCATATAACGATTGCTGCAGCTGTAGAACTTGACAAACTATTCGGAGGATGGAGTAGTCCTTGTCCTCTTCCATCTAAATAATAAAGCTGCATTCATAAAGTTTTTCCTAATATGATAGTGATTAAAATTGTATTGATTGTTTGAAGAAATATCATTCATTAAAATAAATATTTTTAGACGTTTTTCCAAAAAATTTAATTATTTTCGTCTCTGCGCATTATGAACACTCATTGTTTACAAATTTTATATTGTTAGCTATACAAGCAATATTCAATATCCTAGGATTTATCATACTAGCACTATCAGTAATAGCTCATCCATTGCATCACAAGCAATTAGTAGGACATTTAACGACTATTTAACTATTGTTGCTGATGTAGAGTTTGTGTCAAGCTGTTAAAATAAATTGATCAATTCCTGCCTTTTTCTAATTCAAAAATTTATGTACAATCATGAAATGTAATCTAAATTGATTATGATTAATGAATAATATTATGGTTGTTTGAGGTAAGATGATACACTAAACCAAAGATATTTAAATATTGTTTTGGTGACGCATTTGTTTTGCTTCTAACGCATCCAGAACTATGAACATTTCATAAAATCCTGACACCGAAAAAAACTATAAACAACTTTCAGTGATTAATATCATAAATTTCAAACATACCTGACAAGCATACTTCTTGACAAGCATATTCGATGAGAACGAAATTGAATGCTGGCAAGGTACCTTTTAAAGACCATCCAAAGATTATTGCTGCTTAAACAACGGAGATGCTGCTCGAAAGATACGCCATTGTTTGTTTGTTTTTTAATAAAATAACTGCTGTATTATCGAATTAACTGATCTCAAATTACTTAAAATAATATTTTGGCACATACATTTATATTGTATTTAACTGTGCAATACTGTTTATATTGTATTTGATTGTACAAGACTGCTTATATTGTAGTATTTGACTGTATAAGACTGTTTATATTGTATTTGACTGTATAAGACTGTTTATATTGTATTTGACTGCATAAGACTGTTTATATTGTATTTGACTGTGTGTTATTTTATTTTATACCCGGTTCTGAACAGTCGACCCAATTCTGAGTTAAGTGATATCAGTGTTTAACTTTGTGGTCTTGGACTTTTAAACCCACCCCAAAAGGCACGAGAAGTCCTAAATAAAGTATTGAGACACTGGGACAAACTAGTCTACCTTTCTTCTAGAACTAACCTCCATTTGCGTCACATAGGAAGGAAAGCTTTGAAAACCTCCCTAAGTTAGTCCGGCGACAATAGGATTCTAACCCATGATCTGTCTACATCTGAGGATATTTTTAGATCAGCACTGTGGTCGGTGCGAGCCGGGAGTAGAATTCGTGTCAACGAACTGCGGCTGGGACCCACCAAACCACTTTTAACTGTAACTTGTGAGAACTTAATTTGTTCTATTATAGGAGCTCTAATCCTAATTAGATGGGATATATACCAAACATGTTTCCTACTGATACTTTTTTCCCTACTAGCAACTTTTTAAAGAAAGATAGATATAGTATAGATCCAAATAACTTATTCATCATTCAAAATTTAGATAAATGTTTAAAAAAAATACTAGACAAAATGATGATTAGTAAGCTTTTTGGGCAAATTTTTAAAAATCACCCCCCTCCCCCCAATATAGTGTAAAAAGATCCTGATTTTTTTTTTTTTTAGATTACTTCAATAAACACTTGTATATGTCAAAGACGTTGCTTCGATCATTTTATAACATCCATTCATTAATTTTTTACTACATTTTACCCATAAATATTTATGTAAAGTAATTGATTAATCTACTTTATGAAGTCAATAAGTTCGTAGTGATGTCTTTATATTATACTGTTATCTAGAGTGGATTCAGGATACTTGAAAAGTATAATAGTGAAAAACAATTCGATGTAGAATATGTGGGATGTTCTGGCTAAGGTTTCGGCTTTTTACTATATTGACCCAAACATTTCAAATCAGCATTCAGATCAAAGTGTTATTATGGATTATCAGTCGTGTACAAACTTTATAATTCTTAGATGAACTTTGATAAATTATCATCAATAATAGAACATATGCTAAAAATGTTTTTTTTTAAAAAGCAGCAAGCAGTAAGCTATTAAAAGAGATGATAACCAGCGAAAATTTCCTATTTATTTACCACAGTATAAATTTAAACATGAATGTTAGGGGGTATTTAGATTTAAACATATATTCTATAAGATATTTTTTAAATCTGCAAATGTAGTGGTAATCCATAAATGTACTCTTAAATTGAGAAAATGAATGTTAATTAATTGAGATTATACTACGTCTCTACATTTGTTGGGTCATGTGCCACCCTCGGATTGCGTAAGAAAAATATCGTAATATGTTTCTTCCGTATTAATGTATATTTTCAATATTTTTATAATGAAGTCTTTAGTGTTTATTGGATTTTTTTGTGTAAATTATATACTGCTGTTGCAAATGTGTGATGTATTATCAATTTTTAATAAAAATATAATTTATTTGAAATTCTTACCGGACTTTAAATTCTTTTTTTAAAAATAAAGACAAACGCGCCTAATGATTTGTGTACTGCTAAAGAAAATAAACATGTCTGTGACCACCACAATTAATAAAAACTTAAAGGCAAACATAGACAAATCTATTGTTACATACTAACAATAGGTGAAAAAACGGCTGTTGTTTGTTAAAAGAAGAGAAAAAACATTCAATTCAAGCATGTGACCTTAGAAACCATACCATTTTGATTTGTCATCTTTTTTTCCTATAAATTCTGTTTAGATTTTTCTATGAATCCAAATGAGTGTAAGAAATTCAAAAATATTAACCCACGTTGGTCTAAAAAACATACCAAATACCGATACCTCACAAAAATGTTTTTTGCAAGAACTTCAGTTATTTAGCTCCATAATTCTTCAATGGTATTCCCACTGATTTGCAAAACGCTCCAAATAGAAGCTCATTCAAACTAAAATTAAAAGACTTTTTATGTTCTGTAAACGATATTGATGACCTGTTTTAAATTTATTTTTCACCATGCGTTAAATTCACCATAAATTTATTTTTCACCATTTTTCACTAAACGACATTCTCTTTGCTAATAGTATGTTTTACGCATTGTTATTTTTCATGTATTCAGTTTCATAATTTTTTTTTATTTCGTTGAGTGAATTTATTATTGACATTAACGGTTACCATTGGGGACTCGATTCCAGGTAACCTATGTATTTCTTGTATGTTTATTTCCTCTTCTGTAAATTATAAATGTAAAAAATAATAAAACTCATTTATGATCAAGAAAAACTTTTTATGATTATTATGATTAAATAGCAATTAAATTAATCTTAATTATTTTATATTTGAAAATCTATAAAACTAAAAGGAACAGTTTGTGCGTTTGTCTATCTGTGTTTCTCACTTATAACTATAGAAAAGTTAGTGTTGAAATTTGAACTTTGGATTCAAAGGGCAATTTCCGAAAATTCATGCAAAAATTAATTCGTTCAAAAGGAAAGTTAGATAAACAATTTTTGCACATGTTTAGCATCAGATTTTTTTTTGACGAATTAATCATCTTGAAGATAATATGAGTGAAGTTTTCCAACTGCTTACAGCTCTGAGCAATCGTAACTGAAAACAAAATTAGTCTTTATCTGGAATACAAAATATTGAATTTTTCTTTTCAATCCAATTTGCATTCCATTTGCATGAAAGTACCACCTCAAAGTTAAAACTTCAAGATGAATGAGGAAAAGGCTGCAAATGGCCTCAGTCACACAGATAAATTTTGATGATAATGATTATGTTGTCACTTGGCAAGGTTTTTTAACCTCTTAACTTTACAATTATCTCGGGCTTTTAATTTAAGGGGTTACAAAATTTCAAAAATAAAAAATTTTCAGAAGATTTTAGTGTTTCATACTTTAACACTTTTTTCAAATAATTTGAAGATGTTGGCAACCTTAAACGCCCACCGTCTTTTTTATAATGGCAGTTTTCTTTTTTATTACAAAATGCAGCGATGCCAAATGCCCCGCTTTCTGCTTCTAATAAATTAATAGTAAATTAAATATTAAAACTCTAAAAATCAGGATAATTATGCTTTCTTTTTAAAAGAGACAACGCGAGATAACTGGAATAAATTTCCGTTTCATATAATACTTTGAATATTTGATACACTTAAAATAAAAAATACTGAACTAAAAATAACTTAAATTTCGTTACCACTGGAGAAATTTTTTTTACAAAGCTGAGAAAGTTAACTTCTCTGAAAATGTTGCATTAACGCTTCCTCGTCGGGAAAAGGATAAGCTAGAAATTTCTCAGATTATCTTGCTTATATGAAAACATACCCTAGCAGCAAAATAACTTAAGCCCTCATTAGGTCAATATTCATGAATATTTCTCAATAAGGGTTCAAGGGCCGTTATTTTTCTGATATTGGCCCTATGTAGAATTTTCCAATTCTTCTTATATTTTACAGACACTTTACAACCAATATCGGTCCTACGTAGAATTGCAAAATTCACCCGCCACTATGGGTTCTATATTGACCAATGTATGCCCTATATATTGACCATCTTAGGACCAATATTAAAAATCTAGACATCGCAATCTTGGTCCCTCGTTGAATGTTAGAGGACCCATATTGAGCTAATTTTAAGCCTAACAAGGGCCAAAGTAAAATTTTTGGTAAGTTAATTATCCTAATATATAAATAATAGATTTTATCATGTGAAAATGCTAATTTACTTTAAAATATACTAAGAAATAAAACTGTACTTAAAATAAAAATAACATATTAATTTCAAAATAATAATTTTTAACATTCTCTGGAAAATAATCTTTATTAATCATTTTATTGGAAATATATTTCAAAATCAAGGGAATATTCATACCACATCGAAGTACACGAAATAGTAGCTGATTATGTTTAAGATTGCAATAAACAATTACCGACTCATGGTGACATTAAGTTATCATTGGACCAAGAAAGAGATTTCGTTCTTTAGTTACTTTATTAATATTTTTTTTGAAAAAAAGAAGATGGAGAAACGTTTCATGAAAAAAAGAAACAAAAAGAATGTAGGACAGAGGTCACAGTGATTATGGGATCTACAGACATCACGTGTTCTGTGTCAAAACTTTGTTTTTTATAAAACGCATAAAAAAAAAGAACATTTTTAACATTTATTGAAGCGTATTTATTAAGTTGAATGAAATAACCGAAGGATCGACAACAGAGTGGCGAAATAATAAACCAATTGGGAGTAAAACACTTATTGTGATTGCTTTTATTTGATTTGTAGCTATTTTTGGCACAGAAAAATGTGCGTGTCCTATTTCTTTGTCAAATAAAAATCTCAAACATAACCACCAGTATCAGCTAGGTCACATCGATGACAAGTGGTGCAGAAAAACACGCTGAAAAAATTATCTTCTAAGATTTCTTCGAATAAGGATTTTATTCCCTACTCGGAAAAACATGGCGGTAAGTGTGGATAATTTCATTTTTGTAATGTTTATTAATCTCAAACAATTGAATTATTTTGGAAAGAAACTTGTTTTATAGAAATAATTCTGGATGTTAAAGAAATTAAAATTAATACATGCCGTATGAACACTGTTTTGGAAATTAGGCAAATCTATAGGCTTTGTGTTTAAAACTGACAAATTACAACCAATTAATGTTCGAATTCAAACTTCAGGACAGGACTAAAAGTTCTGTTCTGTTCAGTCTAGCTAGGCTCCTGAGGCCAATAATGGCCCTTTAAGGACTGAAAGTATATATCATGTATATAATATATACATCAAGATGGAAAAGAGTCAAAACTAGTAACAAATAAATGTCATTTTTAGCTTTCCTTCAGGAATAATAAAATATCCATAACTGCCAAACTTTTTAAACGGATACAATTTATATATTGAATTGACTCTCCCCCGTGAAACAATTAATAGTAATGAATTGTTTAATGTTAAGAATAGATTTACTCCTCCAAAAAATTATCTATTATTGAAGTAGTTCTACTACTAGTGTTTTCTCTTTTCCGTCTCGCTTTCAGTCCCACTTCAGGATTCAGCACCAGGAAAATGTTAAGAAGTGGTAGTAATATTAAGAGGAAAAGTTGTATTTTAATCTGTTACTAACTCCCAAAATAGTTTAACTCTTTGCACAGTTGGGAAGTAGATGTTACCACAAAGAAATAAAAAAATTTTAAATCTTATTTTTTTGTGTTACATTCCTTCATGAAAATTTTTATTGTATAAAAATCAATGAATAATATATTTTAAATAGTTTAGTGCATTGTTTTTGAACCGAAAATGCTATTTACGGGTCCGAAAAAGGGATCTATATCTGGTATACTTTTTGTTTGTAAAAAGAAATACGCAGCTAAGCTTTCCTACCTGTCTAACATATTTCCACTTATAAATGAACTAAATCGAAGCCTACAAGGAAAAATAATAACCTTTTTCAACTTATAGAATAAGATTGATGCTTTCAAGTAAAAAAATTAAAGTTCTGTATGCAAGAGAATAAATTTGAAATATTTTCTTCTTTCGGTGAATTTATAAATGCCGTAGACATTAATATGAAATTTTGGAGTATAATTTTGGAGCATTTAAATGATTTTACTTTGAATTTTAATCAATATCCTTCAGAAGAGGATGTGCGTGTAAGGAAATTGTGAATAATAAATCCATATAATGAAAACAAAATAACAATCTTACTTCCACAAAAGAACTTAATTCATTACATATGAAGATCAATATCATCAACAATATAACAATTGTAATTTTTTAATGTAACAGTATTACAAAATAACAATATTACTACCACAAAAGAAGAATCATATTTATATGAACTACATTAATTCTATATAAATTAATGTAGTTCAATGTTATCAACAACATAACAATTGCAATCAGCAATAATCAATCTATCAATGTTATCAACTATATAGCAATTGCTATTTTATAATAATACAATATTACGAAATAACAATCTTACTATCACAAAAGAATTTAGTTCAATATAAATGAAGATAAATCAATATTAATTGTATTGGAATTTTAAGATAGTATTAAACTATCTTCAGATTTAGGATAAAATTCACAATTCAATAGTATAAACATTAAACATACCTCACTTCTGGATAAAAAAAAATTATAAAAGAATGTCCCCATCTTTTTGAAAATCAATTAAAAATTTTTATTGCTTTTTTCAACTTATTTATGCAAAACTACATTTTCGATTACGAGTGTTATTAAAACAAAACATCGAAATTGACCCAATCTTGTACTGCTTTACGTGTAGCCATAAGTGATGACATGTTAGTCAGCAATAAACCAGAACAGCAATCACATTAAATTTAGTTATTTATTTTTTGAATGTTTGCCATTCCCATTTTGTTTATTTCGTATTTACTTGCATTATTTTACTACCTAGACATGATTATATAATTTGGTTTCGCTATTATGTTACTTAAATAACAAAATTAATATTTTTG